TTTAATATTGCGAATGGAGCAAATTCAAATTATATGCTTAAATTAGTTAACGCAGAACGCCAAAAGAATAATTTACCTGGTCTTACTTTAGATTCCATCAATATTTATTGAAATCTATTATCATTTATTTAGTCGACTTACTAAAGCTGCTCAAAAACATACTGATTATATGGCAAGAATTAAAATGTTAACTCATAAAGAAAATTTAGATATTGGTGCTAGAATTAAAGCACAAGGTTATGATTGGACTTTATGTGGAGAAAATATTGCTTCTGGGCAAAAAAATGAAGACGAAGTTATGAAAACGTAAGTGTTTATATAACAAGATCTAAAAAATCGCAAAATAAATGTAGTTAATATGTTAATTATATTTATTGAATTATTTAAAGATGGATGAATTCTCCACTTCATAGACAAAATATACTTAATAAAGGATTCAAAAATTTGGGCGTAGGATATTCAAGTAATGGTAATTATTGGACTCAAGATTTTGGCACTACAAAAAAATAAACCCAATACCTCTAAAGACAAAATGTGTTCTTTCAGCACAATAACGGTATCTGAAAATATAATATTGAAAGTATTGAGTGATCTTAAATAATATTAAATATTATTATTTTTCTAATAAAGTGCAAATGATTGTAATAATAAAAAAATTTTCATAGAATGAGTTAAAATTATTATTTATAAGTTAGGTAGCCTTTTTTAAGTTCTCTCACCTTTGATTCTATTTCTATAACATTTTATCAAATTTAAATATTTGTTGCTAAAATGTATAGTATCTTGGTAGCATTTTCCAACATAAATTAATTTTTGAAATTGCTCGAAAGTTGAAAGTGCTACTAAAAGTCGTAAGCTTTACCGAAAATCAAAATGTATATTGAAAGTGGGATCAAAAGTCGAAAGTGATACCAAAAATTCTAACGCTAAATTTGGACCACATAGCTTTGAAAATATCAGAAAATTAGAAATTTTAGATTATTATTATAATAAAAATAATAAAAATTTAAAATTTATACAATTAAAATAAAGGAAATTAAATATTTAATGCTAATTGCGAATTGATTCTTATTCAAAGTCAAAAGTAGAGATAAGACCGGGTTACTCGCCCGTTTATAGCGCTTTTCAATTACTGTACTGTGATCAGCAAATTCCACGGATCACACTGGAAATCAGGAATTTAAAAAAAAAAAATGCCAATCTATGATTGGCTAAAAATTATTTTATTAATTTTTTAACCAATCATATATTGGCATTTTTTCTAGAACAGTAATTTGAAAAGCGCTCTAAAATATTATTTTACCGAATCATATCAAATTACACGGGTGACCCAGTTGATCC